CCTGGTAGCTTTCCTTGAGGTAGAAGTAGCTTTTAACAAACTCCGTACAAAAACTATGCTTGAGATTGACGTCCAAGAGTGGTTAATGGAGATGCTTCGCAGCAGAAAGATTTCAGCAGAATTAGAAAGCTGCATACCTACGAGAAACCTCAGGAGGGGCACACCTAAGGATGAAGTAATTTCGTCACTTTTATGGCTTACCATTATCAACTAAGGACTGCGCAGCTCTAACCTGGATGGCGTGAAAGTAGTTTCATATACCGATAATGTGATAATTTTAGTACCCGGGATATTTCCATCAGCGGTGAGCAAAAATAAGCTCTAGGAAAACTAGACCGACGGGCAGAGCAGCGTAGTCTTAGAGTGAAATTAGAACCAAAAAACAACTAAACTAAACTAAAGCTGTTTACGGCCAGAAATAAAGTCCCCAGCTTTGAATTATCAAAGTTGAATGGTAAAACTCTATGATTAATGAGGGAAGTATTTGCGGGTCGTAATAGACCCTAAGCCGATTTAAATGCTTGTAAGCTTAGAGAAAAGAGTAAAGGATGCTTGGAATTGTACTTTTTCAAGCAACTATTCGGGAAGTCGTGAAGTCTTAGCCCTACACCTCATTTGTGCGTTCACATCTTGAGTATGCTACAATAATTTGGCGGCCTTTTCATCAGTTTAACATTGACAGGATTGAACGCGTTCAAAAGGTTTCCCTTAAATATGCTTTGCGATCTTTACATTTCACTGATCCCATCCCGTCATATAATTCTCGATTGCTTCTTTTAAATTTAAAATCTCTGGAAAGCAGGAGGTCTGTCCTCTCTTTAACTTTTGTTCTTAGCATTATCCAGGATGTTCTTGACTGTCCGGCCCTTTTAGAAAAATAAATTTTAATGTTCCGAGAAGGGAACTACGTAGTTACTATCCGTTTTATGGCAATAATAATAGAACTATCTATGCCCGTAATGCACCTCTTACCCGTACCTTAATTGAACTTAACCAGATCTCAGCTTTTATCGAGCTTGATTTTTCTTTACAAAGAAATGTTTTTGTCAATCTTTTGAACTCATTTTTTAACTAATGTTGCATTTTTACTTTTGTAAGTAGCCTGCAAGAATTATTGTTGATAGGCTACACAATAAATAAATAAATATATGTACTCTGGATATGCATAGCAGAGATACGTCGATCTGGTGCTACGGTTCCCTTACGTAATCAGTTCAATCATGCAAAACTAGGTGATATTACTCGCGTGTTTCTGGGGACTATAATGGCGATGACAACTTGCCCTATGGATGCCTCCAAATTAATTATAAATGTATTTCCTATAGACCTACATACATATAAGACTAAAAGCTTAAACAGACGGCAGAGTTTATCCGGATTAACTCGGACTTAATCCGGATCAACTGCAGTTAATTCCCGAGTTGATCCGCTCGGGAATTAACTGCAGTTGATCCGCCGTCTGTTTATGCTTTTAGATAACTGGATATATGGAGAGGAAGAATGAGCTGAACATTCTTAAAAATTTGGTGATGAGTATTCCTCAGTCGAGGGTCGGATTTATAATCTTTTTCATTATTTACATATCGACTGCTGAGTGGCAGATTGACCTATCCCGGCAGCCAGTTCGAAAACGCCCTATCTCAAAAAACTTTCCAAGAACGCTCTATTTCAGAATTTTATTGAAAAACACCCTATCTCAGAATTTGGTTGAAGAACGCCCTATCTCGGAATTCGGTTCAAAAACTCACTATCTCACTTCATTGATTCTCAAATGTATTGAAAATGTGCTGATATGGGGCGTTTTTGATTCGGCAGCTGAGATAGGGCGTTTTTGAAACGAATTCTGAAATAGGCTGTTCTTCAACCAAATTCTCAAATAGGGCGTTCTTGAAAAGTTTTTTGAGACAGGGCGTTTTCGAACTGGCTGCCGGGATAGGTCGATCTTCCACTCAGCAGTCTATATAGATAGTATTATATGAGAAGGTGATTAACCTTTATTATGGTCGTCATCATCCTTTGGGATTACAATAGATGTGTCGGTAATCTTTGACATCGGCTCTGCTATATAGTTGTTGACGTTCACTGCCATATTCATCGAGAGACAGTTCAACCATAGGCGAGTTAAAATAAGGTGATAGATAGCAGGAGTACAAAACCAAACATTTACATGTATTTTGTTTTTGCTTTAGCGGCATAAACTCTCAAAATCTGTAATAGTGTGTGTGTGGAAATTCAAACAAAATTTTTCCATTTGACATTAGAAGCCGTGAGGCGAAACGCATACAAAAAATCAGCTGATCTAGTAAGACCACCTTATATAAATTCGCCTTGGTTCAACCACTAAACTGACTGAAAAAATAGGTGTGCCAAAAAACGTTATTTTTATTTCACGTTTTTTATAAAAATGTCACACAGTGCTGACGGTTGTAAAAAATTTCATATGCAAAATTGGTAATTGCTATTATCTGCTTTTATAATGTCACATAATAGTGACGGAGTTTACGAAATAAGGAAAGAAAAAAGAACAAGTCATCCACCGGTTGGCCAACTGGCAACAGTAATGAATGTTTGGCTTTTCACGTTCGGTTATTTATGAGGGCAACTGCAACCAACGGATTTATTGATTAAGACAATACCAAATTGCAATTCGGCTGAGGCGTACACTTGTATGTACATTAATGTGGTCAAAAAAAAAAGTAAACTCAGAATTTTAATGCTCTCGCCCTCTAGGATTGTTCTATATCGATAAAATATATCACTATTTTTTTTATTTTGAAAAAAATATATCTGGAGGTCGCTCAAAGCGCTCAAAATTGTTCATGTATTTTATATGGGAAAAACAATTTTTGGAAGAAATGGTATATAATTCGTGAAAATCAATATTTTTCGATCGGAAAACTCTGGTTCTCATAAAGAGACTTCCAGTAATAATACCAAGTCGTTTATTTAACCATTCTTTATACTAAAGATATTTTATTAGGCCCCCATTGCATTTTCTGTTATTATGAAACAATTTTTAAATAAACAATTGGATATTATTAGTGGGAATCAACTAAGGAAAAATAGAGAAAGTAAACCATTTCTACGAAAAGTTGTTCTTTCCCCCTATAAAATACATGGAAAACTTTGAGCGCTTTGAGCGACCTGTCAATATTTTTTGATTTCAAAATAAAAAATAGGGGTATATTTTTTCCGGTATTGAACAATCCTAGGGGGTGAGAGCATTAAAAATTTCAACTTTACTTTTTCACATGCATATTTGGACCACCCTAATGTAAATACATAGGTATGTACATATATGGGGCGTTCCATACCAAAACGGACGGGGTTTACATTCCATGTGTTTGATTTGTTTAAAACTTTTAGGGTTGTTGCATAAACATAAATAATAAATAAATATGAAATTGGAGCTTGATTAATACATTTTTGAAAACTTAAAAGCAAAAACAAAAAGAAATCGATTTAATAGTTTTTCAAATATTTCGAGAATGGGGTGAGGAAAAAAATTAAAAAAAATCTCTGTGAAAAGAAATATTTAAACAATTTTTTTTTAATTTTTAACATACAAATTTTTTGATAAAAAAATTAGTTTCTGAAAATATGCCATCTCAAAAAAAAAATTAAAAAAACTCTACAATAATTTGTGTTATGAAATTTTTTTTACACCGAAGTTGAGTACATTACAAATCTACCAATTTTTTAATTTTTTTTAGAATTTTTTTGAGTATGCAGTCTTGTAGCCCATTAAATTGCAAGTTTTAAGCTACTGCAAAATCGCGTTGATTTTTAATATTTTTTATGCTGATGGCTTTTGCACTTTTTTCTTATGGAAGAAAATGCAAAAAATCGTTTTCAAAGAAAATTTACACCTATTAACACATATTTTGCTATGACTTAAAACTTGCACCTTATTATACTAATATTTAATGGCCTACAAAACTGCATACTCAAAAAATTTCTACAAAAATTTAAAAAATTTGCATATTTGTAATGTTCGAAACTTCGGTGTAAAAATATATGCATAACTCAAATTATTGTAGACGGCACCTTATAATACTATACATAAATATTGCGAAATACTCAGAGCTACCATTGTGATTTTTTTCAATTTTTCTTTTAACAAAAAAATTTTATGAGACAAATTTTTCAACAAAAAAAAAATTTTTAATATTTATTTTCATAGAGATTTTTTTCAAATTTTTTCCTCGCCCCGTTCTCGAGATATTTGGAAAACTATTAAAAATAGTTTTTGTTTTTATGCAGTGATGTTTTTAAAAATGTATTAATCAAGCTCAAATTTCATATTTAATTATTATTTATGTTTATGCATCAACCCCAAAAATTTGAAACAAATCAAACACATGAAGTGGGAAGCCCGTCCGTTTTGGTATGTACCGCCCCACATACATCTACACATATTCACCGTGGAAGTACGGGAGACGGTCGTTTGCGCAGTACGAATCTCCAGGGATGAACGGCTTATGGCCGATTCTACTACAAAAAGCAAAAGGTATTTTAACTGCAATTCTAACCATCTGCATGAAGGAAAACTTTTGTTTGAGGAGGCGAGCCTATCTACTTATGTCAAGTTTATTCCAAAACAAGGAAACAAAGACTACACCCCTCGAAATCTTTTCGTCCGGTTAACCTAATATCGGATGGAAAAAATCGATCAAAATTATCGAAATCGGTTGACGTGGTCCAAAGTTCCGACGAATTGATGAGCTCCTTTTTTTTTGAAGTCGGTTAAAAAGACGAACACTTTTTGCCAAGAAAAAAAGGGAAATATTTGGTTACAACTATTCCTAAAGTGACGCGTCACGCGGACGCACCCCCCGTTGGCACCCTAATTAAGGGAAGGCCGTTTGCTTTTGGCTCTAATAAAGGCACTATTAGGGCTATACACGTTATTTTTTTTTTCTATTTCAAGCGAGCGAAGAATTTACATACATGTACATTTCTACAATTGATTTACAAACAAAAACTGGCACAGATTCCATTCATTTTGTCGCAAGCAAACCAATATCGCTGACTATAATTTCCTTTGTTAATTTGCCACTCTTCTTCATGCCGAACACTTGCATAGAGTCAAGTACTTTGATGCCACTTCGCACTACTCCAAACGCGATACGTTTGCCATTCAACACCCTCAGTGGTTTAAGGCTCATTGAGAATCTCAAGGCATTCTGCCTAAGGGCGTCCTGATTGTCCAGCGAGAAGGACAAAGTGCCCGGAAGATTGTGATCCAACGCACGCATGTCGTACTCAATGCGCTCGGGTTTGAGTTTCTGTCCTTCAGGCAATTGCAAACAACAATCAAGCCAGAGGCCGGGGAATAGTCGATTTACAAGTATATTATTTTTATCTCGATAGTGGCAGGTGCGCACAAAGGCCAACACCACCTGTGGGCAGGCTTCAGTGTACAATTGCACTGTGAGGCGACCTGCCGGTCGTAGGCCTTTCACATAGAAATCAAGGTAAATTACAGGTCGCAGCAACCGTTGCAACTGTGAGCATGGTGGCATTTGTAGTTGACTATACTTGGCCAATATTTGTGCGGGAACTACAAATTCTACGGAGTCTTTTTTCACTCGACGCAACAAATGCGGAGCGACATGGGTGTCCAGAGTAGTGCCGATAGTCTTCAGTAGTTGTCCGAATTTCTTATTGTCCTTCTCCAGAAGGCGCTTCTGCAACACCATGTAATGCACACGTGATCTTGCCACAGTAGGCATTTTATCTCGGAATGTATTCAGTGGGCCGCCGATGCGCGAAACCATATTAACGCTGCGTAGTAGCTCGTTGTTCATGCGCCGAATGCGTTCGAAGGCATTGCAGTCATCGCGTAAGTTTGGTGCACGTAACGCTTCTCTGATGTTGAGTTTTGGCGATGTGTTGTCCACTCGTGGCTTGACGTTCGCTATCATTTCTTTGTAGTTTTTTCGTCTAAGCCTGCGCTTATTTTCGGACAATCTTATGTATTTGGCCATTCAAAAGCAGATCGAATATACATAAAACTAAATATTAATTATTAATTTATATTTTGCTTTTGTTAGACCAGAAATAATTGAAATTTTATCGTAAGCAAATTTAATTTCGATATAAACTGACAGGGAAATTTTTTTGGATTCTGCCAGAAACTCAGAGCCTACAAACACTTGAAGCTCAGTTATGCAAGACTGAGACTTGACTTGATTTACCTAAACTTACTTGGAAATGATTACTCTTCGTGTCATCTATTGCTTTTTCTTTTTTTTTTATCCTCAGCATTTGTATTCGTACACGCAAAATTGTAAACGTTTAATTTGTTTGGGGTAAAATTGGATAAAAATTACAATTGAAATAAATTTATTTAAGCGTATCAAATTGTGATTTTTTTATTTAATTTTCTGTCATTATTTGAAACTTTGTTTTTCGATAGCCATATGAAATGCATTTCGTGGTCTAAAGTATAAAACCGCGTATCGCCATTCTGCAAAACCGCGTAACTGACATTGGCTACCAAAGATTAGATTTGCTCACATTTTTACTTTTTTTACTTTAAACGACGATTTATATAAAAAGATAATTGTTGTAGGCATATTTGGAATATTTTTATTAAAAATTAGTGAAAAAAATTCAATGGCAGCATGATTCTCTCAAAAATCTATGGTTCTCTAGTTCGTTAAAAAATCCAATGGAAACCGCTATGCATTCTCAATTGCCATTGTGAAAAGCTCTTTAGACATAAAGCACTTGAGTTTGTTCTAAATGGAGATGTAAATAATGTTGCCTCCACATTTGCAGTGGCCAACTGAGCAAAGCACTGGCGTGCCATTCGAGAAATCCGACATCGAGTCCTGGGGCAGCGGAATTTTGTCTTTCTTTTAATATAATTTTTTCCCTTTCTGAATTTAATTTTTAGACTTTATGATTAAAAAATAAAAAAATTATTTTTGTATTTTTATGTTTTAAATGAAAACTAGTTTTATTAGTTTCATCTAATTTTTGTCTAACAACATATTTTAAATTTTTTTTTTATAATTTTAAGATTAGATGTGTATGTATATTTTATATTTAGAAAAATAATTGTTTCTTAATTTCTAGAAGCTATTTTTTTTTTAATTAATTTTTTTTTAAATAAATTTTTATTTTAAATTTAGATTTTATTTTTAAAAGAAAAATATATATAGGTGGACATATATGTTTTTAAATCTCATTCTATTTTTAGAAACTAATTTTATTTTCTTATTGTAATTATTTTTTCTTTTGCTGATTTAAGTTTTAGATTTTATTGCTTTTAAAATAAAAACATTTTTCTTCAATTCCATTTAAATTTCAGGAACTTTTTCCTATTCAGGCCATAAATAACAAAAACAAACAACTTTTTTTCTGCTTTGTAACTTTTTATAAAATATTTAGATTATATGTATTGTTATCTATATTTAGAATTTTATTTTTTAATTTCATTTAATTTTTTGGAACATCCTTTTTTTCATTTTTAATTTAGATCACTTCTATTATTTGGATTTTATTGTTTTAAAAAGGAGCATATTTTTTTAGTTGTTATAACCTTTTTTTAGTTTCATTTTCTTTTTATTATTAGTTTTTTTTTTTTTTTTTTAAATAATTTATGTACATATATTACCACCTTACAAAAAAGGACTTTTTATGCAGACTGATTCTCAATGCTCTCAAATAAAAACCAATACACATAAAGAACGCTGTAAAACATTTGCCTACAGATGCAAGGCAGTAACACAGAGACCTTAAGTTAACATTAATCGAGGTCATATGTTGAAAAGGGATGCAAAATCACATGTACACAAAAGAATGGGTCAGATTATTCAGAAAAAAAATTTAATTCTGCAGATCTTCTAGTCAGATTCCCACTCATATGACCGGCAGATGTCTTGTAGGGTACAAACAAAAATTAATAATCGTTTAATAAACAAGTAATTTTTAAGCAAAAAAAAACCGAATTCAATTCTCATATAATAAACAAAAAACCATTATGTAGTTCGTTGTGTACCGTTATTTTTTCTATGATCCAGTCATCGAAACTAAATCAAATTAGTACAGGTATCCCCTTTCCATCAAAAAAAAAAATTACAGAATTTGGTTTACGTTGGCAAAAGCAATATCGAAGTAACATTTATATGCTCATATATATAAAAGTTTGTGAATACCGTTCGATTTTTGATGATCCCATGATCGGAACTTAATAAGATTAGTATGGGCCTACCTTTGAGGTACCACCTTTTCGATCAAAAAAACTGTTATCGAAAAAATTGTTGCAAAACTGCCTAAATCGCTGCTGTGATAAAAATTAGATCCAGGCATCGTTACTGTTACAGTCCAAGCTAATAAAAGCAAAGTAAAACCTATTTTTAATATATGACGTTGACATCTATGACATGAGGTGGTACATAATGTCGTTGGAAATTTTAAAAATAACATTCAAAACAGTTTTTTTGCTCTCCTAAAGTGTTGAGTTTCTGCAAACGGAGGGTACATATTTATGTGTATTTTCTTAGGTTTAATTGCTTCTTTATCACCCTTTATTATAGAAATTTTTCGAATACACACTCTTAATCGCTTATTTTGAAGTACTTAACGCAAATGAATGATTCCAACTTTGTCGCACACCTAAAGGAATTTACTTTATCCACCGACATTAAGTACTGTCTATTTTTGCCACATATATCACCGAAAAAGTAGACCCATGTCAACCGGCAGGTAAGTTTTTTGTTTTAATTTCTCGGAAAGAAGCGCCAGCCAAACGACAGAGAAGGCTTAAATTCGCACAGCATCGACAATAAAGCACAGCGACGTGAGACGCGCTTCTGTGCTAAGCAAGCTTAGCATGATAAACGCGAAGATTTGCCTGATTGGAAGATAGCACAATCGCCGAATCTTGCCAAGCGACGGCGGCGCGATACAATTGAGCGCAATTCGCGCCAGCATTGTGGCGGAGGCACTTCATCACCGCGTCGCGACGTGCGAATTTGAATAGCGTAACTAGATTGCGATTTTTTGGCTATTGGTTTCTTCGTACTTTTCTGCACACTTTTTTCTCATCTTTATGCTTTAGCCGCTAGCATTTTTCGCCGAATACGCCAAGAGTATTTGTTAGCCGCAAATGTGCCAATAAATTTAATTTTATTGGCTCGAAAAGCAAATAACAAATAGCAGCAGTCGAAGATCGTGGTGGAGATTTGTGCGCAAGGAAGGACAAAAAAGGGTTTAAATATATGTACGTGTATGAAGTGCAGAAGGTGGGAAAATATGGCTACTAACAGCTCATAGGGGCACATACATGATCCATATATATATATATGTACATTAAGAAGTGTAAGCGGATCAGTGGCGGATGCATGAAGGGGCTTTTGGATACAGATATCCCCTCAAGCCATGAAAGGCGAAACGTTATATTTAATGTATGTATGTACATAGATACATATATATGAGTAAATCTCACGAGTTGTTACATTTTTCGCCCCCTATCTTAGAAAATGCATTATCTTCAGTTTTGTTTAAAGAACAAGATTCCATCGCAAAATTGTGTTTAAATGAAAACTTAAAAGAGATATACTATAAAAATAATAAAAATAACCACTCATGCACATATATCCGTAGTTGCGTGTGTAACGTATACGCCCCGTAGCACCACGTTATCTCGTACGCCTTAACTTTAAAGTCATATTATTTAAAATTAATTAAATATTGGCGTGGGAGATTTTTACACAATATTTCTTATGCACATGTACATTACTTTCTTCAAGTATATAACAATTTTAGAATGGAGTTCGAGTTTGCCAATAAAAATTGTAAAAATGGAATTTTAGTTTCTCAAAGCACCTGCTTGAAAAACGTCCATTTCCTCTGATATGAACTATCCATGATAAAAACCATGATACAAAAGGAGGTCATTTAAAAATTGTTGAAAAAAGGTAAGTTTTTGAAGTTTCATAAATTGAACAAAATTATGAGCTACCTTGCCACATTGATAGCCATTAAACCACTCATTAGAGGATTTAATGTTATGCGTGGGAAATATTCGGTTCTTTGTACAATGACTTTTTAGTCGGGAGCGGACGGGGAAGGGGTGTGTCATCTAAAACTCATTAGAAAGAGCACAGTATAAACTTTAAGAAAATTTATACTTCGCCTCCCTGCCACTCCGTTGGCCATTTCAAAATTGGGTAAAATTAGCATTTTCGCAAAGAAAAATTTAACTCGTGTTAGGCCATCAGCAGTATTTTTGCGCAAAACTCCTAGCCACGTTGGTGGCCTTCGGTCGCGCTAGAAAAAATAACCTCATCAGTCCAATTCCGGTTACGCCATCCACAGTATTTTTGCACAAAATCCACCTTCAAATTTACAGAAAAAAAGTGCATAGGTATTTCAAACCGAAATCTTTGCTTAAATTAATGCTTAATCCTTTCGCTAGACGTATTTGTTAAAATTTTTTGAATATTACTATGTCTCCATTGAGAGATTTATCCATTAAGATTTGATAAATCCAGTTGCTAAATCACAACCGTCTCCATTACCACAACGAGATATGTTTGACGTTCACATTTTTAAATATTTGACGTTTGCTTATGTATGATTTTATAAATACAGTTGCAGACATTAATATACAGACAGATAAAAGGAAGGTACCAAGCGGAATTTCATTATATGAATTGTGAATATTATTGGCTTCTTATTCGTGGTAAATATGTATGTATAATATATAGTTTGGAAAGTGTAAAGAATGGTACCATATTCCGAATCATTTTCCCGAATTTAAGAAAAATTATCAAAACGGTAGAAAACATTTACGGAAAGAAAAATTTTTGTAGAACTCTCTTATTTATAGGAGGGAACCGAAAATCCAATCGTGGGCCTTTGGCATATCATGAATACGAACTGAGTTCTAGAGGATGTTCGGTGCAATGTTATCGAAGCAGAACCATTACCGAAATTTATAAATTTTTTGTCGCAGCGCGTAAATGACTTATAG